TGCAGCAGAGGAGGAGGGAGCTGGTAGTTCCCACACAGACCCTGCTGCATCTTGTTCTTGAGGTTTCATAACAGAATTAAGCAATTTGTGTCACGTGTTGCCATGGAGACGGTAAATCACTGTCATGCTGGGCTTCTCTGTCAGGGAGCCGGTGTCTTTAATTGCACCAACTTGCCCTGCAAAGCCAGGGCTTGGTTCTGAGCTCCTTTACCTGCTGTAATGGCTTTGCCCTGGGAGCTCTGCCTCCAGGAGAGCAGAGCTGGAACTGGGGATAGGGATGCTCGCACATCAAATGTCAAATGTCTAGAGTCGAATTTATTATTGTCCTATGTGGCCACTCCTCTGCTTAGATGAACAAAAATTATAATGATTTACGCAAGCTGAGTTCTGTCCCACTTGCATTCAGGGCAAGTTTTGCAACGAGGATGGGAATCGGATATACTACCTACGTGTTGTGGTGACCTGTTGGGGCTTGGCGGTCCAGTCGCACAAACTAAGCTGAATTTTTCCATCCTTGATGTTTTTATATTACTTGACTGCTCCAAAGGGAGAGCTCAGCCCTTCTACACCATTCCCATATCCAGACAGGTAATTAGGGTTTTATGCAGTTTATTCTGCCTCTATAAAAAATCCTTTTTGCAGAGGAGGCTCAGCCTCAGTGACACTCTTGGGTCAGCGTTTCTCTTTTTTCCTTCTGAGGCCATCTGCCTCAGAAGTAGCCACGTTTCTGACTGTCTCAGCATTACTGGCTTGTGCTGTCAGGACATAGATCTTGCCGACGCGCATGAAGACGGTGGTATAAATCAGCCTCCTTGCAGTGACTTAACCAGAGCCCTGACGGCATTCATCAGCGTAGGGTATGGATCCTTCTCTTGGCTCCTTCAAAATAAACAACTATATAAATCGTAAGATGATTATCATCAGAGCTTATTAGCGTATTACCACATGCTGCTTTGTATTCAGACAATAGATAAAAACGTCTGTGTTTCGTTTTCTCAGTCAGATCTACAGCAAACACGCTTATTCTTGCTCCCGTCTGAGGAGGACTGTGTCAGTACTCTTGCCAAAAACATGAAAATCAGCCCAAGACTTGTGCAGTTGCCCATAGCGATGTAACCAGCCAGCGCAGAAGCTCTGCACATCTTTGGGAGTGTTTAATGTTTTCCAGGAGGTGACATATGTTGTTTTTAAGGTTTGATTTATTGGCTGGTTTAGATTATAATCTTGTCAAGGCATGAGCTGTCTTCTTGCTTTGGTTATCAGGGCAGGTGGAGGTGTAGAAGTATTGAAGTACTTGGCTTTCAGAGGGTTCGCATTACGTACCTGCATGTCGGGAGCACAGGACCTGCCCTCTCAGTAGAAGGAGCGTTTCCATGAGCCGCAGAAACAGCCCTGCAGAAACATCTAAACTTGCTGCCTTTTGACACTTAATAGGAGTTTCAGTCTGTTCATGCTGGCATCACCTAAAATATGGGGGGTTGTGCTCAACAGTCCAGCCTACAGTTCTTGACTTTTTTTTTTTATTATTATTCTTTTTTCGGTTCACTTTTTACTGTTCTCCCCAGGCTACATAATACTCAATCTGGTAGCTTAGACGTACAGTATGACCAAACTTCTGGAAACAACAGAAAGCAAATGCCCTGATTCAACCCATCAGCCTGTTGGGCAGAGTCACAGTTTGTACAATGGGCTAAATGTTATCCTAGTACTTTGGGGAGTGTTTCGTGCAAGATAAGCTAGAGGCTTCTTAGGAGCAAGTTAAAGGGGCTGGTACAAAATGTCAACGAAAATGTAATGCTTGTCTGCCGAGCAGTAGCTTGTGGTTTTATGACAAGGTCAAAAATCGTGCACAAACGGAGTATGGTTTTCACATCCATGGCCTCTCCCTTGCCATGTCAGTAACAATCGGTCTTTCATACCGCCTGGCCGGAGCCGCTCTGCCGTGTAAAGAAGGATGGGGTGAAATCTTGGCCACGGGCAATGCAAAAAATTGTCATCAAATGTGTTGAGGGGCAGGGTTTTAGCCAGAATTGCTGTCCTAAAGAGCCTTTGAGGATCATCTGACCCAAGCAGGATTACGCAGAAAGAAAACTTGGTCTTCCAAGGAAAAATTAGAAATGCAGTTGAAATTAGTAGCTTTCTATGCAGCTGAGCATGCTGCTTGTTGATCCGTAATCTTATAAATGTGAGAAAGTTGCTTACTCCCAAAAATGGAGGTAAGAAACTTTTCCTTGGGATTATGGTGAGGAACTGTGATAAACCTGGTTGAGGCCTCAGCGGGTGCTTGGTCTCCTTCCCCGTCCAGCAGCTGTTGCTTGCAGCGAAAATTCTTGCTGTTCTCAAGAATTTCCTCCAAAGATAGTTTTGAAACAAGCAGACTTGATCATGTTTCTTCTTGCTCTGAAAATTTTAGCTTGTCCCAACTTGGACAAGAGACCTTTGCAGTTCTTACTAGCCTCAGCGATCTCACCTCTGTGATTACCCTCTCTCTCCCTCTTATGGGGTTTTCTTTTTAGAGGAAAAACTAAGACAGTTCCTATACATTTGGTTCAAGGAGAAATGTCCAGTACATGACCTTAATTAGAGGTCAAAGCATTTAACTTGCATGACATACAGATTGCACATATAGGAAGTTATTCCTGCATTTGCAGAAGTCCCTCGGGTGCATGCTGCGCCTTGTCATCATACATAACGTGGTGGGGAGGATGGAGGAGAAGGGATTCCCTCATTTGAAAACCAGAGTTTTTCTCTTTTGACATTGAGCTGTGACTGTAGGTGGGAATGTAAATCCCAGAGTTGTGTCCTGCTGGCACTAGTTGGATTATGGTGTGGTGATCAGAGACAAGAAGTATCAAGGAAACCTTGTTCTCATGCCTACCTTGTGGACAGAAAAAGCATAGGCAAATCACTCAAGTTTCGTCATCTTGATGTTGTCTTTGGGCATTGTGTTTTGAATGGTGCTCTCGCATCATGCTTCAAGTCACCGGCTAACACTGAATGGCTTTGGGGGTTATATTTTAGATTATGGCTCAATTTCCACAGCTGCTTTGGTCTGAGGATCTTTTTCCCTTAATTAAAACAAACTCAAATGTGAATGTTCACAACTGAATTTATTTTGTCTCCTTTCATGCACATGCGTGGGAAGGTGGGTATGTAGTGGGGCTAAAAGCTGGTTAGTAGATCTGTGAAATGACTGTGAAAAACACTTTCTCAAAGGATGGGGTCTCCAGAGTACAGTATGGAACATGAGACCCCCAAGCACACCAGGTCAAAAGTGCCTTTATGGTTCAATAATTTGGATTAAACTGAAATAGTGATTTGGCAGAAAGGGACTAGAGAAACCAGAAACTGAACCTGCAAGTCAGGTATGTTCTTCAATGTGAAACCAAACAATTATGGGGTTACGTTCTTGTCTGTTTGAAAAATAATCCAAGATGGCTTTTGGGCCTCTTCGGAAATGAAGAGTCAAAGTGTTTTGTTTGGAAAATACAAAGAAAAAGAAAGAATTCCTGGAAATTTTTTTTTTTAATACTATAAGCTGAAATAAAATTATATTAGTCAGCAGCTCATCTTGCACTGTGCACGCAACAGCCCTGCGGTCTGGGCTCCTGAGCACCACCAGGGTCAGCTGCAGCACTGACCACATCAGCCTTGCTCGGTGGTTTCTGAGAGCAAAAAGGTTGAAGTCCTCTTCTTAGTGAAGAAAAATCCCTATGGTTATTGGTAAAGCCTCCACAAGCTTGTGTGGGGTAGTGGGGATACAGATGGGGATGCCGACAGTTTATGGAGGTTCCTTCAGAGCAGTTCTTGTCCCCCCTCAGCGCTGACACCAACCAGCACCCACAGCCCAAAGGACATGAGCAAAACCAAAGTGGTTGGGAGCGGGTGCCTGCAGAAAGCATCGCCACAGCTGCTCCCACGCCAAACAGCTTGCATCAAGAACACCAATACCAAGGAAATCCACTGCCCTCTCTTGCACCTTATCATTAGGATGGATTTATTTTTTTAAAAGCGTCTGAAAAATTTTCCCAGAAATGCAATGGTCGTTCAAATCTGGGAGATGGCCACCCATTTCCCTTGTGATTTGAGTGAGCATCGCCGCTGCCCACGGGTGAGTGGAGGGCACTGCCCTCTGTAGCATAGGTACGAAACCTCTCACCTGGCTGCTTCTTAAATAAGCAGTCGCTGCTGTTGGGTGTTGAAACGGGCTGTTCATCAGTGGCCGCCTCTTCTCCTTTCTGCACATGTGTGCCATTGCCCAGTTGCAGCCAGTGAATTCTTTTTCTTCTTTCTTTTACGAGTCGGTTCCCCCGCGGCTCACCCGAGCTGAGGGGAGCGGGGTGACCGCGCTGCAGGGGAAGCTGCTCCCCAGGCTGTGTCACAGCCGCAGAAACCAGCCTTCCTGCTGCTGCGGCAGAGTTGGGGGGTTTTGTTGGTTTGTTGGTTTTTTTTTAAAAAGCAAAACAAAAAACACCTGTCATTCCTGGCCTGCCGCCTTCTTGTTTTTATTTCTCAAACTTGAAAATGAGGGAGAAGAAGGCATCTAAGGTCTGCCAGCAGAGCCAGGATTGGACCTTTAACTCTGGTTTCATCCATCACCGCTGGTTCTGCCTGCAGATCTGGCCCCAGGACATAACGCACCATTTGATGTTTGCTGTGTCTCAGATTAAGCAGTGAAGAATAGCACGGCTCTGGCTTATCGGTGGGATTTTATCACTGGCAACTGGAAATTACCTGGAACTTGACAGCTGCACTGAGCCAGAGTGATTTTTGGCATGGCCACGTGGGCCCAGCCAGCCCCTATAGGAAAAGTGTTCGAATGATTAAAGTTTTGCACACGCATTTGATGGCAGTTAGTGATCCTTGTAGATGAGGCAGAAGTAAACAAACCAAAGTGGTGGGGCTTCTGAGTGATGGGTCTGAGTTGCAGGACAGCTGTTGGGGAGGGTGGGTGCTTCCACTCCTGTCCAAAACAACTTTGGATGTCAGTATTGCCTTCGTCCTTGCTTCTTAGGAAGCCGGTAAAAGCTGCCTTGTGCAAGTTGTCCTCCTGTCCTTGCTAACGAGTGATCAGAGATGGTCTCTTTCTCCAGCAGGTTTAGCACACTGGAAGCATGGCTACAAGCGCCGTTCCCAGCGAAAACCTCCCCACGTACAAGCTGGTGGTGGTTGGAGACGGTGGTGTGGGGAAGAGCGCTCTCACCATTCAGTTTTTCCAGAAGATTTTTGTGCCGGACTATGACCCGACTATTGAAGACTCCTACCTGAAGCACACGGAAATAGATGGGCAATGGGCAATTCTTGATGGTAAGCAAGCTCCTCTCGTGGTCTCCTCTCCCTTCTAGCTGAGAATAAGTGCAAACAGACCTCAGTGCCTCCCACAGCTAATTGTGCCCTCCTGTCCCTCCTACTTCGCTGTGGGCTGCCAGGAATTTGAGTGCAAACTGGCCTGAGATATGCGGCGCGTGGTCTGCAGCTGATCTCAAGCAAAGCTTCTGCTTCCAGTAGCGCTGGTTCCAGTTCTGCACAGAAATGTTTCTTGTAGGAGTGTAAAAACCTGTAGATCATCACAGACATTTGGGGTAGGCTTGAACGAAGGGTGAATTATAGCACTGTGAGGTGGCTATTGCTACTGATTCTTCATTGTGGTTAGGCTCATCCCCTGGGAAATAACAGAGCGGGTAACTGAGTGAGGGTTGTAACCAGAAAGCACATTTAATCAAAACTGTCATCCACTGACAGTGAAGAATTGTAACACCTCTCAACTCCCATCATTCAGGCATGATGTTTTCGTATCTAGTTACCTGTTTCATTTAAATATGGGTAGGGTACCAGCCTGGACAGCTGCTCTAACCAAGATCTTTCAGTTCTTTGAAGAAAACCTGCTTTTTAAAAAACAAACAGCAACAAAAAAAACTCAAATTAGCCAACCCCAAAACAACAACAAAACCAGAAAATTTGACTCTACAGATGAGGAAAATGCCCTGTATTACCTAAAGCTACAGCTTACTAGTTTGTGCTGCAAGAGACAGACTGACCACAGCCATAAGGAGAATCTTGTTGTTAAATGTTATGTTTTGTTTAGCTTTATACAGTAATTAGGTAGTACATAAAAGCAAGCAAATATTTTGTCCTTTAATTACCCAAGTGCATGTATGTGGCCACTAACACAACTGAACTAAATTTAACCTTGTGTTGAGTTCCTACCTCCGCCCTCTTGTCATGAAGGCACTCAAGATCTTTGGTGTCTCTGCATATGTATCATTGGTTTGTGGGGACAGAAAACTAGGGACTGGCATGAGTGGTGGAACGTGGAGGCTGGTGGGGTTTGCTGTGAGGACTGTAAGGTTGGTCTGGAAACTTGAGATGTTAGTTGCACTCTTAATGGATTTACCAGATACAGTTTAGTGAGTACAAATGGCCCCAAGGTCCTTAAAAAATAGCCTTTACTCAGGATTATTAAAAAAATCAAACAACTTAATCTTGCCAATGTTTGTTCGTTTAAATGTCATAGTAGTTGATAAGAGAGAATATTTGTGAAATTGGTGCCCGTATGTGTGTCATGTTGTCATCTGCATCAGAGATACCTGATCTCAATTAACCATCACATAATGTACCTGTGCACCTTTATTTTTAAAATGCCAGTGGTATATAAAAGAAAAATCCAGTCCTGTTGTAAATGAAATCCATTCTTTTTAGTTCAGAACCCAGCCCTCTAAAACGAGCACCCTTTATCTTCGCTGGTGTGCCCCGTGTTCTGATGTAACAGTACCAGCTGCTGTACACATTGGTGTTGGCTGAAACAGCCTGGGGTTTGTAGATTGTTTGAAAGTAGAAAAGGCATCTTTCACTGAATATTTGGAATTTTTGTTTAGTCAAAAAAACAACCCTGACCTAGGGTGGGAGTGAGGACAGAGGTTGTTCTCCAGCAAGCAGAAACTTAACCCTTTGTTTTAATGAAAAAGCCTTTCTTTTGCTCAGTGGCTGTACTCGTGCTGAACTGAATTCAGCTGTGGCCTTGAATGGCATGTTGGGAATCCCAGACTTTCAGAGTTCGTGGGCCCACAGATGCCTTGCAGCCACAGAAGTGAAACTGCAACTTCTCCTTCTCTTTCCTACTGCTTGAGATTTTGAACAACCAGAATTTTGGAAGAAAGGCGATGTTCTTGCTTGGAAAAGCATGTGAGCCTTTACCATCTGCCAAGTAGAAACAGGGAATAAAGACTGACTATCACATGTGTCTTCTGCCACAGCTTTCTGTCATGGGCTTTGGATCTAGGCCATTCTCAAAGGTCACCATATACTTGGACAGCTGCTCTTGCTGTGGTTACATGTGGTTGCATGAATCACTTATAGTGTAAAATTAGGGACAAACCTGATAGGAAGGGTAAAGATGCATCACAATAAATTCTAGACTTTCCAGTTGTCCTTTTTGACCAAATCCTTTGCAAGCTGATGTTTCATGCAGTGCTTGGTGGGGAGAAGCAGCTGTTCACCCCCAGAATAGGAACTGGTTTTAGAAGATGAGACTACCAAGTGGGGATATAGTGTGAGGGGCTCCCTAAGTTTCTGAGTTTGCAGAAATAGTTATTAAAAAAAAAAAACCACAACTGAAATACATTGGCATCCAACAGCTTAATTAAAAAAAATCCAAATCACAGCCCACCCTCTTCCAGGCTGTTGCCTGAGCAGTTCTGTACAAAGCATCTCTAGCATTTGGTATCTGTACCAGCATTATGTTGTAAAAAACCCCCTTGTGCTAGCCAGCTTGCATAAAGCATTTGGCTTCCCTCCATGAAGACCTCCACCCACATTTATTCAATAGCACTAACTGGCAGCGTGATGAAATGTTGGACTTGCATTTTTTCCTTTGCTGAAATCTCTCACTGAAAGTAGACTTAAATGGAATAGGCCTTTATTTCACATTTTAGACCTTAGAGCCAAACCTACATTCAAACTCTTCTTTTACATATTTGCTCTCTGACTTGGACATGCCTCCATGTCTATTTCTTACCAAAGAAGAGTCTATGATAGTTCCCAGCCTCCCAGAAGATCGTGAGACCTGTGCTTGGTGTGTTCGAGTCCAACGCTACACGAAAATGCTTTCTTGTTGGCCTTAGGCCAGCTTTATAAGACCATCCATGTAGTGTTTGGAGGACAAGCATTGCAGAGTGGAACAAGGATGCAAAGGCAATTTGTGGCTAGCCCATTTTTTCAGTTGCTGCCACCCCAACGAGTCTTTAAGATCAGCCTCCAATTTTTTTCTGCATATGTTTCCTTCATTTATTCCCTGCTGTTCACACTGAAATCAGCACAGTGACGTGCTTGGTTGAATGCATTCACTCACAGGTGTTGTATAGACACATCAGGTCAGAATTAAGTGGGGGCCAGGGTTAATCTGCTTTGATTAGCTGTTGCTCCGATTGAGCTGCTATCATTAATTTTGTACACTCCTTTCTGTGTGTAGGCTAACTTAGCAATTAGCAGAGGATTTCTTTTGGTGTGGCTGCAAAATGCCAGTCTGGAATTACTAATCTGGGCTCAAAGCCAAAAGTGGAATATGGCAAAAAATTCCCAATGGTTCAAAACTCCTGATGGCTCCTAAACGACACATAGACAAAAAGTCGCTGAGGAAGAGATGGCCACAAGCACATGGCTTGGGTGTGTTGATGAATTGGGCTAAACCCTTAGATGTCAGTAGGGCTGTGCCAGTTGGTACCAGCAAAGCAAGGAATTGTGCCTGTATGTTGGGTGAAAGCAGGCTGTGGTTTCCCTCCTCTTCTGTTCCCTTCCCCTGATGTGATTTAGATGAAACTCACACTGCCTAGATGTTGTCTTTCCCTACTCCTGGGCTTCAGTTTTCCTTTTTATTTCTCTTCTCCCCACATTCTCACCTCAATCCCTGAGTGCCCTTGTGGTGGGCTGGACCCGCACAGCCCTGGTTTGCTCCCCCCTGGGGTCACACCAAGCACCGTTCCTTCCCTGAGCTCCTCCTCTGCCTGTTCCACTCATGTCTCCCATGCGTTCCTTTTTGCCGAGAGTTTTTGCTGCTGTTCATCCCAGGACAGGCTGTCTGCTTTTCTGCTTTTCTCCTCAGGAAGCTTGGGAACAATTCAGCCAGGAGGCCAGAGGGACATCAAAGGTCACTTCAGACTTGCAGGCAGAAGGGTTGGTTTGCGGCTCACTTTCTTTTTTCTTTTTTCTTTAAACTTTGGGTAGCGTCATTGAAAGAATTAAAATTCAAATTAAGTTTGTACTTTCATTCTTTTATTTGTGTGTACAGTATTTTCCCTCCCTTAATGGCTGGGATTTTGCAACTTTGAAAGAGGGTTTTTTCGTCTTGGGTTGTGGGGATTTTTTTCCTGCCAGGAAAATTTTGATGTTGCAACATGGAAAACACAAGGCTTTGAATATTTGCCCTTTGTTAGAGAAAGAGCTCCTTTAAGGGCTCACATCTTTATTCTGTTTATTGTTGTGGAAGCCTTTCTTCTGAAGGCCCCTCTTTTCTTTTTCCTTAAAGAAAGGGCAAGAATTCAAGTACTCGGGTTTTCCATGTTATAACATCTGTGTATTTAGTTAGGGCACAGAAGAAGGGCACATGAAAGCCCCAGTGTTTCCCTGTCGCATGTTTTTCCCTGAGGAAAGCTCTCATGCTGGCGGCAGAGTGGCTGTATCTGAGAAGGAGCAGAAGCATTAGAGCCACCAAGTGAAGCATCTGCCTCGCCTTGCTCACAGCGTGGGCACCTCATACTTCTTCAGGGTGACTTGGAGTGTAGGAATACGGAATATAAGCCATAGCCCCTGCACTCCACTCAGTGCCCAGAATACTGATTTCTCAGCTGAAGCCAATGTCTGATGGGGGCTGTCCTCTTCTAAAGAGATGCCCTTTTCCACTTTCCAGTGGATGTGGCCCCAACTGTTGTGACAAACTCCTTGCTACATGAATCCTGCCCCCCTTAGAGCTCTACATGCCATTTTCCTCTTCTATCGCACTGCTGATGGAAGACGAAGACTGTGGGGATGGCTTTCCTCAGCCTGAGACACTTTGGTTTGAGTTGTCAATTCAAGTTAAGTTTTCCCTTGAGCTTTAGCTACTGCGCTGCAGGGCAACTGGCGAGGGAGTTTCTCTCTGTCCTCAGCTTTTGAAGCAGAGCCACGGTCCTGAGAGGAAAGCAAGACTTGGAGAGAGAAGTGCCGTGAGGAGTCCGGCTCTGTAATCTGTGGTCCCCTGGCAATGCCACGTTCTCAGTTCCACTCCTTGCTCCAGGGACTTTTCCTGTATTTCACATTAAGAAATCGTTGAAGAAGCAGAAAACGCCTGGGGTCAGGCTGCTTTGCACTGCTCCTTTCCCTGGAGCTGTGAACCCACGTTTCTGCTGACCTATCCAGCCCCTTAAAGGCTTGCATGTGTGCTGGGTGTAGGCAGCCAAAGCGATTTCACTGGAGACTGCTTGCAAAAATCAAGTCGTACACGTTGTACTCACCTTTCCAAGCATGAGATCGAGGTAGGCACAAACAACTGTGTCCTGTCCCTGAGCTTCGTGATGTGCAGCTGCTTTTGTGGTTGCTGAAAGGCAAGGCGCTCCCAGAGCTGCGCTGAGCTGCTTTCAGGACTGGCAGCAGCAACATGTAGTTGCTCAGAATGGGCCACTGATGTCTGATTTGGGCAGTGAAACCCAAAGGCCAAAGGATAGAAAAATCTGCCTGTCTGATCATCTTTGGATGCCATGGGCAGTGGAGAAGCTCTCTGGAGCTGATCTATACACCTTGTTGCCCAGCAATGTAACGATAAAAGACGTAGGAGGGAATTTTGCCTAGGTAGGAAAAGAGGAGAGGAACTCACCTGCACAACCAGATCTGAGCTCCCCGAAGGCTGGGAATGCTATGTTTGAATCTGAACAGAATCCAGCCTAGGCTCTGGAAAACGCAATGCTGTGACTTAGACTTCATAGTATGTCTCTGTCCTTGGCTTAGATTTACATGCCTGTGTCTCTGGACGGGCACTCAGAGCACTGTTGATTGCAGAGACATTGACACATAAAATACCTGGAAGCACCAAGTGCTTCTATTTTGGGCCACAAATTCCTGTGTATCCCCAAGCTCCTGTGTCTGCTCAGAAGTGCTCTCTAAGCAGCCATACTCTTGCCCAACTCATCAGGATTCACAGGAAAATGGCATGTAGAGCTCTAAGGGGGCAGGATTCACGTAGCAAGGAGTTTGTCACAACAGTTGGGGTCACATCCGCTGGAAAGTGGAAAAGGGCATCTCTTTGCTGAGCAACCTCTTAACCTGCGAAGCGAGAGACCTTCCGGCTGGGCTGTCACAGCCCGATGCTCTTAGATTAGTCTCCAGCTGATTGCCTGATAGCTCTCTAAAATGGCTTTGGGTGTCCGTTTCTACATCACACATAGTCCTTGGCTTCTCTCAATCTTTTCCCAAATGCCTTCGTTAACGCTCCTCCTTGCTTCCTCTTTGGTTGAGTTTGTGGGAACTTCACCAAGTTTGCTGTCGGAAGTCCCTGACCATGAGCCGCACAGCCTATGAATCTGATTTCAGTTCTTGGAAGAATGAGGCAGGGGAAACCTGCTGTGCTTTGGTCCAGCCTTGTCTCCACATTGGCTTTTCTGTGCAGCCAGCGGGGTGACTGCCAGTAAGAGGCAACTGCTGTTTTAAAGTGTACCAGGGGAAGAGAGAGCTCTCAGTTCTTCTCTGCTCCTGATTATTTCTGTGTCTTCTGGCATCCCATCTGCAGAAATGGGAATTTTAAAAGAAGATGAATGCTGGCCAACATCCTAAATCTCCTCAGTCCTTTGGGAAGCTGGTCAAATCACCTTCCCAGTTCCACCTTCTCAAGGTCTCGCCTTGCTTCTTTCCTGTTTCTATAGGTAAGAGTCGTCTTGAAGGTTTTATGCCACAAGATTACACCAGAAGCAAAGCCACTTGCATCTGGCCCTTTTTTGGTGCTCCTGCTTTCCAGGATGCCGTCCTATCCTGCCTACAAAAAGTCCAGATCGCACTCTCCTCTCCAATTGTTTACAATTCCTGTAGCACAGCAGCGTTAGCATGGCGGAGGGGTTGTCTTTGTGAAGAGCACGTTTAAAGTTAAAACAAGGACTTTCTCTGGCCATCCACATGGTGCTTGACTTTGCATGAATAACTCATCTGAGATTAACCTTAACCTTCGCTGCCGCTTGTCTTTTACGTGCATTCCCAAAGTGCCATTTTAAATGCTGCCTGGACTTGCTCGCCTTTCTATGAATGCTGCAAGTGAATTCCCTTTAAATAGCAGCTGCTGACACAGCAGCTCAGCCTGTGTTTAGCGTGATGCCGTGGCCAAGATCCAGGCGAGGTAGGAGTGGCAGGACCACAGCCCTGTGCTGTCCCTCGGGTATCCCCACGGCACCTCCCAGACCCATCCCCTGCCCTCTCATAGCGGGTGGAAGGCTTTGGAGAGGCAGCAGCTAGGGATGGGTCGATGGGTGCAAGAGCAGAGCTGGATGCCCTCATGTGTTTCATGGGAGATTTGCAAATGTGCCAGAGCAAGGGGAAGTCCCTAAGCAAATAACCATGCAGGATACGGCGCATCCATCTCCACCTTCCTGCCTACGGCTCGTGCTTGAGCACCTGCCTTGTCTCGGGGGGAGGGAGGGCAGGAGAGCCTGGCCCCTGCAAGAAGCTGTCCCACTCCACCACAGGTCGGGTATGTGTGTTGGAGAGGGGAAGGGAGTGTGTGTGTGTGTTGGTTGTCAGCTCTCAGCCCTGCCCTGAGACCGCGTCCAGCGGGTGCAGGAGTCAGATGAGGGCAGCCCAGCCTCTGCTTACAGGTTGGGTGGGTAGGAAGGATTAATTTCCTCTTCCGTCCTAGCCACGAAGTCCTGGCCTTATTCCATGGTAGCAATTCTACCTAGGGCATAGAAATTCACCAGCACATGCAATGTCTTTGGGTTGGTTTTCTATTTTCTTTTTTTTTTCGTTTTTGTACAATCCTTCAGAATAGTGTGGACACCTTTGAGCTGAGACCCTTGTTTCCTACATTTAGAGGGGAGAAGCAGGATAAAAAGCTATGAAGAGACACCCGTGACTTTCCAGCAAGCTCCAGCTACCTGGCAAACAAGCCTAAATCTCAGGGTCTCTGCAAGAGCCTAGAAGCTCTTTTCACCTTTAAGGGTGAAACAAACATTCAAGACCAGCTAAAGCAGGCGAATGAATGAGGCTGAAGGCTTTAAAGGGCCTGCCATCGCCAAGTAAGATCTTCAGGTCCTCCAGTGTAGCTGCCTTTCCTCCAGACACGCAGAGAAGGTGTGGGCTGGCTCGTGGGGTGCGCTGTGACATGCAGCTTGTCCACCTGTGCCCACCCATGCTGATTCAGCAAGTAACGCCAGCAGCAAAGTGGGCTTTATCCTGGCCCCATCTGGAAACCGGGGCAGCCTGAGTACTTACTCCTACAGGGAACATCTTGTTAGGACTGTGGGCCTGCTCAGACTAGAAAAACTCGTATCAAGCCCCGCTGCTCTGCCAGCAGTACGCTCCTGCCACGCTCTCCATCCACTGGTGCCCTGGGCTTTCCCCATCACTCGTGGGCAGCAGATGCTAACGCTGTGGCCATACAGCAAAGGTGGAAGCAGTTTTCCCACCCAACCCAGTTGACTGGGACGTAAAAACGTTCCCAGTTGTCACGAAGGTCCCACATTTGCTCCTAGGATACAATGATGCATTAGGACTATTACTTCTGAGCAGCCGATGCGTTTCGAGCTCACACCGTGTTTGTACTGGCATGGCCTAAGCTGATGAACTCCTCTAGTACCCTCCTCCTGCCAGCCAAAATCCTGGCAATGTACGAAGCTGAGGCCCAAGAACTGGCATCGATGATGTGCATCAGTGAGTGGTGTTTACCCAGAAGGCTGGCGTAGCTTGCTCCATGTGTGGTCCATGATGTAGCTGATGGGACTCACTGCGAGGCAGAGTGATGGGGAACCAGTGAGTTATGGTCACCTTAGAGAGGAGGTTAATCTCGTGGGTTTTGCTGCCGTAACTAGGGTGTTGTAAGGGATTTGAACATAGATCTCGGCATTGTCAATGCACAGAAACACGATTGCTATATAGGATATGCAGGTCACTTAAAGCTTTTCCACCTGTTTTAACTAGCTTCTCAATATCAGCATACCACTTGGGACTAAATATTTAAGGGGTGTTCCTCAAGGCTGTACCGTCTTGCTCTGAAAGCACATAATTGTGTAGAAATAATATCCGGGTATTGAGAAAAGGAAAATGCTTGAAGCTGTTGCTCTGGGTTGTCTCTCAGCGCTGCTTCACCACGCAGAAGTGTCCCTGACATTTAAACTGGGATTTACTTACTCTTCCAGTCTTGGGGTTTTCCATGTAGGGAACAGAGGGAGCTGGGAGAGGGAAAGATGGAGGGCTGCAAAATACTTTGAGCAATATCTTGCCAAAAGAACAACTCCCCAGGTTCAGTGGTCAGTATTTGGCACTGGAAAGGGAAAGTAAAATCCACAGAGCCATCTTCTCCTCCATCCGCTCCCAGAGTAGGCACACGGTGATGACTGGGTTCAGGGAGTGGGTTTTGTTTTGTAACAAGAAACCACCTTGTCCATCCAACTTGCTTTCGTCAAACCTTGCAGCCTTTGAGAGGATCAAGCCTGGCGGAGGCGCAAAGGCCATATAGGACACATAGTGGTGACAGCAACCACGGGTCCTCACAGTAACTAAAAACGTTCGTCTCTTCTGTCCTAGTTCTGGATACTGCAGGCCAAGAGGAGTTCAGTGCAATGCGGGAGCAGTACATGAGGACCGGAGACGGTTTCCTCATAGTCTACTCGGTGACGGACAAGGCTAGCTTCGAGCACGTGGACCGGTTCCACCAGCTGATCCTCAGAGTGAAGGACAGGTGGGTGCCATGGAGCCAGGCGCTGCCGGACCCCGCTCCGGATGCTGTGCCGTGGGGGTGGCTGCACATCTCACATGCCTTTTGCCTCCTTGGTGTCCTGGGGTGAATCCTTGCATGTTATGTGTGTGTTTGTAGACCTACATATGAGGAATAAGAAATATTTTACCTTTCCTGGTAAGCGTCTAGTGCCTTCAACGTGGAAAAGTTCAGTAGTGATACGATGGAGTGAAAATAGGTCCGGAAGGGAGAAACTCCAGCCAGAACAGTCTGGCAGAGCAGTGTGAGAAAGGCAGACATCCTTGAAGGTAAGCGGTTTGGCTCCGAAGAGGGAGAAGGGTGCTCTGTGCACAGTGCAGGCAATTTGGGAATGCCAGCAGGGAGTCAGCAAGCATTTGGCCCTAATCCTTTTGTGTGTCCTGGCAGCGTCCTCCTCTCCCTGCCTTCAGCTTGTCAAACAAACCTTAGAAGGTCCTGTGTGATGTGGGGCTGTGAACAAGTGTCTTGAAGGGGAGAATGCCTCACGTTGGAAGGAAATGTATTTCTGACAAGGGGTGTAATGCGGTTAATGCCTCGTGCTCTGCAGCGACTGTTCTCAATGAATAAAACATCTCTGCGTGACTGAGGAGAAAGCAAGAGAGGTCTCCTGCTTCCCTCCCTGTGCGTGCGCAGGAGAAGGTAGCACCGAGGGTTTAATCGTAGTGAGCAAATGTGTCCTGACAGAGCGAGGGGAAGCTGCCAGTTTATCTCCAAGATAACTCCCTCTTCCCATCCCAGTTCAAGAGGTGATGAATCCGTCCTCACTGGGTGGGGTATGAATTAAACCCTTACATGTCTACAGCTTTGAAACACTTAGATTTTCCATTCATAATGGCTTTTAATTATGGAAGTCATCAAGAAAAGCCACCAGAGGGTTCGGGCCTCGTTTCTGGCTTCCTTTCACAGCTCTGAATAACTTCCCCACAGGAAGGGTGGACTCGTATCATGTGAGGTTCACAGCTGACAGCTCTTCCAGTAAAGCATCCAAAGTGGAGCCCGCAAGAGTGAAAAGTAAAGCAAAAACCACCCTTTGATTTCATCCAAATGAAGAAAAATATCAGTCACTCTGCCTCCCAGATCACGACGGTCTCCTCTTCCCTGCCAGCTCGGCTTGGGGCAAATTAAATCTGTTTCTGAAAGCTGAAGAAGACAGGATAGTGTTTTCTGTAACCTGCCCCAAACCGCTGTCGGTTTTATCTCACTTAACTTTTTGAAAATAAGACGCGGTGTTCATTGTTTTGCTCTGGACTGAAACTTCCACCCCTCCGTACGCTGCGCAGACGCGGCGGGCGGCGCGGGGGCCAGGCTGGTGAGGTTGTTTTTGTTTCCCCGCTCAAGGCCACCGGAGTGCAGAGTGTGAGGAGCTTAACGCCTCATCCAAAACCCGAGCTTGTTCGGAAAACGGCAGCAGTAAGAGCAGCGTGAGTGGAGAAACCGCCCTGGCAGAGCCACAGGTGGCTGGGGCAGAGCATCGCCCTGGGGCTCAAGCTATCAGGCAGCTCTGGCAGCTTCAGCTCCAAAGAAATCGCAAGCTGCCTCATCAGCTGAGCTGTTCAGAGCCTTCCTCCTGTTTCTTTCCATAACCTTCATTACATTAAAACTTTCAACTATAGTAGCTTTGTCCAACTAGCGATCATACGGCTTACAACAGGGAACAAAGTCTCCATAGAGTTTTACGCCTGATGTAAACAAGGCAAATGAGATACTGTCCAAATGTAATCCTTTTCTTATCTATGTGCTGCAAGCCAAAAAGGAATCAAATAATCAGACAAGCAAGTGTTTTGCTCCAGAATGATCACAGTCAAGATACATCAATGCTCAGGTATTAAAATTAAATCAAAGCCACATTATCAGAATGAATAACTGTAAGACTCATTTAAAATGCAGAGTGCAGTACGGTATTTTTCCAGCCAGAGCAATGGGGCAACGTGCCAGAGAGGAGATGGAGCCCTTATCGTCTCGATGAAAAATGACACAGAAATGCTGTTTGAAAATCCAGAGTTACTCAGGAAAGCGTTTTATGCAGAAATGAGTACAGCCAGCTGCTCCTTACCCCAATAAAATCAGCTCTGCTACAGCAGAGAACACTGGAGTCATTTTAGGAGGGTTTAAAGTTTAATATAAGAAAATAATACTGCAATAACTGTCAATTATTAGCAGGAACCTCCTCCATCCTAGCAGTGGGTAAAGGCCCTGCAGCACAGCTTTGCTCTCTGTGTCGTGCAGCTGGAGGAGAGGCTCCCATATGGGAGATGGGGTGGGATGGGCAGCAGCCGGGCTGCCAGGACTGCCCGTGGCACAAGCTGGCTCAGTTTGGTTTAGTCACCAGAGCTACGTGGAAGAGCCTGACCCACAAACCTCGTCAGGAGAGCCTTGCACGGGTGGGCTGTGGATAGATGAGTCGCTTCTCAGGTGGTGGCTGAAGACCACCAGTCACATGCATGCCCTGTAAAGTTAAAGAAACGCTGAGTATTATTACAGAGGTAGGTGGTTTTGGTACAAAGGGACCTTTGTTCATCAGGTTTTTGCTCTAGGGTTATAAGCAGGTAATAGCATGTGGAAACTTGGGAAGACTCTTCGATCACCTCCAGCTTCCTTCCATCTACCACTGCCAGTCTTTCAGTTTGTCTTGGGGTAACAACCGATGGAGATCTTTTCCCCCAGTCATCTTCTCCAGGAGGTGCCCCCTGAAGTGCCAGCTCTCCCAGAGTCCATCTTTTCTTCCCTCACGATTGCTCTCAGTGGATGAGTCTCCACCAGGACATGAACTGACACCAGTTCCTCCAACATACCTCATTACCTTGCAGTGACTAGCAGCTGCCAACATGTGTGGCTACTGGGATGCCTTAACTGTTACAAAAGAGTCCCGTTCTCCTGTTGGAGATCTGTTTCTATGTCTCAGTTAGTGTCCTGACTAATTCTATAGTTCTTCATCTCGTTGGATCTTCAGCCTTAGCTATTATCAGGCATTGCAAAAACAGTAACACTATAGCATAGTCTGGGGGCCTGATGTGTGTTTGTTTGGTCTTTCTCTATAATTCTTTACATGTATGTGGTATGTCTGTAGCTGAAAATGTTAGATGATGTCAACATCAGAAAGTGAAACTTACGGTCAGCATTTTTTATTGCAGTTTGCTAATATTTGGGTGGTGGGTTTGATTTTTTCCAGAGAGTCCTTTCCAATGATTTTGGTGGCGAACAAAGTTGATCTAATGCATTTACGGAAAATTACAAGAGAACAGGGAAGAGAAATGGCAACAAAACATAATGTAAGTTTGCAGGGTTGTTTAATTGGTTGTTTTAAGTCCCATTACAGGCAATCAGAATTGAATTCCCTACTCATTTGGAGCTGAATTAAAGCAGTTATCGTACAATCAGACATTTGCTTACAGAGTAGTAGCTGTACAGGTTCTTTTCAGTAGGGCCAATTCATCAGTGAAACTAGAACCTCTGCTGTACATCAGCCTGTAGCAAAGCTATGGCCATCACAAAGCCATGTGTACAAGGTGTCTGCAAGTGAAGAGAAACATGGAACGTTCAAAATAAGGGAAGAAAGTGCACCCTCCTGGAGAGAAAAGGCAGAGTCAGGCATTAGGAAGTAAACCCAGGTGTCCGTAGGAAGTGAGCTTGTTAAACATAATGAAGTTACAGGGTTGTTAAGCCTATATAAATCTGGCCCACCGTCTTAGCTCTGCGTTATTCATGCCATGGTTTAGCCTGAGATATTGGTCTTGGATGAGTGTAAACGACACCATACTCCACTAATCACCTCTGAATACCAACAGCCCAGAATACTCAGAGGGAGGCAACAACTCCAGTAGGAGGAACTGAATGGAAAGGCAAAGGCAAACAAGGCTGAGACCTCTTGGCAGCTCACTGTGCCTAAACAGCAAACTGCCGTGTTTCTAAACAAGCCACGATGGGAGTTTGGCAGGGCAGATTCGCTCGCTCCCTCCCCTCCCCAAGGAAGCTCGTTTCCGTGGGAGCCAGGAGACCTAAACTGCAACGTGTCGCACCCATCTGTACACAACACGCTTTGGAAGAGGCTGTGTATGAAAATACCTGATCAGAGGCAGTTTAAATCTGCCGACGTGCTGGACAGGCACTCACAGAGGCCCCATCTGGCTGTCAGACTTTGAAGGAGAAGATCATTTTACACTGAAGGGGAATTGTAGTCATGAAATATTCATGCAGTAGTCCTAATAAAACGTGGCAAGCCAGAATTTTTGGCAAGTGCTCGTCTTTCAACAACCTTCGGCTATTTTCTTGTCTGCAAGTGCAGCTTAGGGGGAGAGAACATCTGATGACATGATGTCCATGATTATTCTTCCCCAAACCTGGAGCTTTGATAGCAGCTGGTTTGCCTGGTGCTCATTCCTTACCTTTTCTAAGAGCTCGCTGACCTTGTTGTGGGCATGAAGGAGTTGACAGCAGTGTCATGACAACACTTTGTTTACCTGTATTTCCCCGGTCTCTTAGGCACCCGATTTCTCCAACCTTTAGGGTTTTTCATTTTGAAACTGGTTTGCTACCAACATGTAGGCTGTTACTAATCTCTTTCGTGATACACTTCTCTCCTCCAGATTCCCTATATAGAAACTAGTGCCAAGGACCCACCTCTGAATGTTGACAAGGCCTTCCACGATCTCGTGAGGGTAATAAGGTAAGCTGCAAACTCTTCACTCACTGCCTGTGGACGGGACGTGCAGGAGTCCTGGCCCAGATTGCCAGGAGCCAGCTTTTGGGGAGCATGGGCCAGATGGTTTGACTGAGGATGGGAAATTTCTGGGGTTTACTAAACTTTCTTGTCCCATATCTGCATAGGGATGTTACTAGCACTTAGTTACCCTTGTAGGACATCGGTGTTAGGCAGATTGAGTTGAGAACTATTATTCGATGAACAGTGCAAAGCCCACTGTTATGATCAGCTTTAAAAGGCTGGCATTAAAAGTTTTGGACCAGTAATTTGAGTTCTCATAGCTTTGTCCTCTCAGGGTTCAAAATGACTGGCAAAAAAAATCTACAAAATTCTGATGTTGTAGGTGACTTCTAACATTTTCTGCTCACTAAATGGAAAAAATTAAGCCGCTTTGTATATAAGAAACAGGATGACCTAATGGCTAAGCCACAGGTTTCCTCCTCAGACTGCAGAGGTTTGTTCCCCGTTTTGGCATGAGCTGCCTTTGCTCGCTTTGGCAAACGCCTGCTCTCCGGGCGAACACCATGCTCCGGCTGCCGGCGAGGAGAGCCTGCCTTCCAAAATCGCCTTCCAAAATCCCGGCTGCCCTGCAGGAAAAGAGCTGCACACACATTGCGGCGTCTCAGCTGATAACCTCAAATCTCTCTGAGAAGATTTGTTTTTCTGGCACGGGTTGTCTGCCAGATTTTTCTGGGCCCTTGTTTTTCACGTTTCGGGAGGGCGCTGAGCTGCAATCGTGCTCCTCCCCGCCACGCAGTCGAAGTGCCTCACTCGGCAATTAAACCACGAGGCGTTTATTCACAGCGTATCTGTACTTGTGAATGTCTTAGCGCAGCCTCGAGTCAGCCTCCATCAAAAGCAGATGGTACTGCCCACTCTTCCCACATGTCTCAAAAGCAGGGGGTAGAAAGTGTTTGGAGAACTACAGAGCTGAGTTGGAAATGTCCCAAGCTATTTCCCAACTGTTCTGTAACTCGGCATTAGCTGGCTAGATATTACTTTTGTGTTACAGTGAGCTCTTACCACCATCTATGCTACTCTGGGGGGAAAAAAAAAACAGCCAAAATAAGATGGTGAGGCTCTGTTTGCTTTCTCTACATAACTCGACTCCAGGCAGGCTGGAAGGAGCATTGTAATGAGACATCATTAAATTCAAGCCCTGAAAATGCACTCCATAACCTCAAAATTAGGTGATGCACCTTGTTTCTCTGAAGAGTCACCGTGAAAGTCATTGCCAGCCAAGTGAAACCCTCCATGGCATCAAGGGCACCAGAGATGTTCACAAGAGCTGGAACTCGGGTTAAGTCAGAGAGATGCTGTGTGATCTAGCTGGTCATTTGCCACAAAGCACCTTCCCTTGGTCTCTGGACGTTGCAAACTGTCCGCAGCCATAGGATGGCATCACTCACCAAGTCTTGCTTTTCTTTTTTTTTAAGTGAGCTTTTCCAAATAAAATGTAAATTTGCAGCTCCCTAATAACTCTGTCATTCCTGGGGTGCTTTACAAATGTAGAGGCTCCTCAGAGCCCATGTGAGTTTGCAGTTGAGGATGCTCGTTCAGGGTTGGCACTGTTTGTTCTCCCTGCACTTGACCGATTCCCAGTTTATTGAGGTTTTGCAAGAAACTGTTGTCTGGAAGTAATCCAGAAAGGAGTGGGGTGATTGAGCCCACCCGACAGATCTTTTAAATTTCCCGATAGCCCTTCTATGCCGCAGCAGTGCGTACACAAGGACTGTCACAGCATAAATCTTGAGCAGGTGCGGGATGTGGTTTTCTGGATCTCTAAAACAGTTCCAGAGCACTGTGAACAGCTTGTGGCCTCTTAATGTTTATCCAAATTAACTTTAAAGTATTTCTTTATTTCAGCTTTCCAGTTTTGAGCTTTAAGGTTTTATGTTTTTCATGCCTCCAACCTTCATACTCGCTGAAAAAAAATCTTACTAGTTAAAGCTGAGTTTTTCAGGAGGTTGCAAGCATTTGGGAGCCGAGGCTGTAAGAAAAACATCAACCAAAGCCATAATGATTTTTCCCCCAGCAATGTCTCATTCTGGTCTGGGTAACTTGATCTAAACACTCAGCTTAGCGCCTGGCTTATTACATAGCAAAGAGGCTGGTTTTGAACTCTTCAGACTCTCAGGTTGGTTATTCAGACACTGTTTGAATCTGCGGAAGCTGCCGGTGTTGGTATGGTTTATCTTGCAATAAAATCTAAGTCTAGGGGCTGCCTATCGGGTGTTTGAACTACAAAGCCACCTTCTGTTGAGTTTGCACTGCTGGGCTGGCTGGGTGGCTGCTGCAAACAGGCACAGTTGTGAACAGGCACTGGGGCAACACCTCGTCTTGATGAAAAGGGAGAAACCCTCAGCGTGGCATTTTAAAGGTTGCTCACAACCCGCCTGGCTGCGGGGGACTGCCGGGCGCGGGGCAGGAGTGCCCCCAGCCGCCTGTTTCCAGTGGCTGTGACTTCAGACAGCCAGGGACATCTTTCTGGGATCAGCTCACACCTCGCTGTCCATGCTCTGGTGCTCTTCACAGCTTCCAGGGGAGCCCCAAGTCCCATCAGCAGCAGACTCTGTTTTTTCATGATTATTTTTGAACCCCGCTCTGTAAGCAAGCCCAGGGCAGTGCAGCTGGCTAAGGGCCATGCCAGTGCCAGCTGAAAGCAAATCTTTCCAGGAGGGCTTATTTTTCTGTGCAGTCTGTATCTCTTTCATCCTCTTCGCTAATGAGCGTTAGCAGCAGCGTGATGGATGATGTTGCGTGGCTTAGAGCATCCCTGTTTCTCAGAGGAGGCCCTGCGGCAGGAGAGGAGGCAACACTTCACCAGGGCAACCGGAGGCACAGTGCCCT